TTTTAGTCCAACCAATATAATATACGTAGTATGTAGTATATTTTAGTACTTAAAGATAATACTTTGTGCTTCAATTTTAAATTTAAGATATAGTTTCACATTATATTTTTTGTGTACGTGGTGACAGGTTTAAAAACATTATAAGCGTATTAGCAATTTTTTAAATGTTGTAATACTATTTATAAAGTATTAAAAAATTATATAATTTCTAAAAAATTAAAGTTTTCCCGGGCCGGGCGGCCCGGTGGACTACCCGGCCCGCTCTAACGGGCGGGTATGGACATGAGGTTAGGCCAGTTTTGCGAGACGGGCCGGGCCCGCCAACACATGATGGGCAGAAAATTTATAAAAAGCCCGGCCCGAGCCCGGCCCGAACCCGTTTTTGTACAGGTCTACCATGACACTGCATTTTAGTAACTATTAATCAATTATGTGTAAATAAGTTTTATTTTAGTGATATTTTGGTAAGACCCCCTTATTTTTCACTATATATTGACATGTTTTGTTGGCGGGTTGATCCATGACCCAGTAAATATTTACCCGGAAAATGACGGTGTCATGAGTCAATATGGATCAGTAAAGAAATTCTTATTAGGTCATGGGTACAGCCTGGGGTAAACTGGGTTCAATCTCACTCCATTGAGAATTGAACCTAGGATCTCCCATAAGGGAGAATGAGTCGGCGACCAGCTGGGCTGGACCGCTTCGTCATTTTGAGAATTTTAAAATTATATTCATATTCTTGTATTTAAGATCCATTCTATCCTATTTGAGAAATCCTCGTAGATTAAATTTATATGATAAAAAAATTATATTTAATATCATATAAAAATATATTTAATTTATTTAACTTTTTAAGAATATATAAATATTTGATAGATGGACAATATGTGAAAACAATAGCTATATACTCCGTGTTAAAATTATAATAATATTGATAGATGTTTTGAATCTTTCACAAATACTCCTTAGTTTAATCGTAGTATAGTAATAGCAATAAAATACATATTATTATCATTACCAATTCATCTATACTTCATATTTAATACTCCCTCCGTCCCATTTTACCTGTTTTACTTTCCTTTTTGGGTTGTCCCAAATAAGTGTCACTTTTTTCTTTTTCGAAAGAAATATGTAATTCACAACACTTCACTTTATTATAATCAAATCTCAACCACAACTTTTACATTTTCAAATAGTTTATTAAATATTGTGCCAAAACCAAATGAGACACAAGAAGGTACTACAAGTCTGTAGCCGAGTAATAATAGTGTGATTGGTAACGCAATACATATCTTTCGAAACAAAATTGTAAGCAATATGTTTGTAGTTGAGTTGGAGCTCTATTCTGTGCACCTCATAGCCCGTTCAGGGATCGAATCCCTTTGGCCGATATTTTTTATGAAAAAATTGTGTACGGCCAGGGTGCATTCTGGTGGTGGGAATCATGGAAACATGGTCTATTAACTAGTACAGTACCCGTGCATACGCACGGAAAATAGCAGATAGTGCATATATTTCTACTAAAAACACTACATATGAGAAAGAATATTTTCCCATTCAATTGTTAGCCAGCTTATCTTTATATATATATATGAGTGAGAAAATTATTTCGTTCAATGGCTAGCCAGCTTATGTTATACTAAAAAGATTTGTTTATGAGAGAGAATGTTTACTCATTATCTTCTAATACTTATGTACCTCCGTTCTACTAATATTGAGACATGAGGAGGTGGTACGATTATTAAGAAAAGTGTGTTTAGATGGTTGATATTGAATTTATAAAGTAAGAATAAAATATTGATATTGTTTTCAACATTGTGACATTTTTTTGATAAAGCATGTGTAATGATTCATCCAATAACAATTTTATGTCTTAATAAGAGATCTTACATTTCTATGTAAAATTTCACATTCATATGAGAGATTATGTAGAATTAAATAGGGCAATATTCTATTTGTATTAGTCTATTCTTTCCTTATAAAATGTTGATTCCTTAGTTCTAACAACAAAGTATAAATCACTTTTAAATTCCCCAAAACTGCATGTTTTGTGTGTTTGTCTCGTTTGCATATACAGAATTTAAAGTACTCCGTATAAAATAGTACCACATTCAAGTATATTTACATTTTTCGAGTCAGTTACATTTTGTAAAGAAATTATTTCAATGTGTTGATTTTTTAACAAAAGATCACATTTTTTTTACTTTTAATGATGTTTTCATTCACTGGTAAAGATAAACTTGTTTAATTATTAGCAAACTTATGTTCTAATATCTAAGGGCATTACATATGAGAAGAATTTCTCCGGCTCAATTATGAGCAAGCTTATCTTCTTATAGCTAAAATCACTACATATGAGAGAAAATTATTCTGTTCATTTGTTAGCCGTCTTATCTTATACCTAAAAGAACTACATATGAGAGAAAAAGTTTTCATGCTCATCTTATACCTAAAAGAACTACATATGAGAGAGAAAGTTTTCATGCTCAATTGTTAGCAAGTTTGTCTTCTAATACCTAAAAGAGAAAATTTCCCCGCTCAATTGCTAGCCGGTTTATTTTTTTTATACATAAAAGCACTACATAGCCGGTTCATCTCCCTTGGATGCTGAACTCCGTGCGATATTCTTTGCAGTAGATTGGGCGATTGACCTTGGTTTTGAAAGCTTTCAGGTAGAAACAGATTCAGCTCTTGCTCTGAAGTATATCGAGGGTAAGGCAGGTCGCAGATGGGAAGATAGAATTCAGGCAACTACACAGATTTGTTTTAGTAAGCGGATCACATTCAGACATACCTTGCGGGAAGGTAATTGGGCCGCTCACCACTTGGCCCAAATTGCAGTGGACAGTCCGAAAATTTACTCTCAGATTGATCAGCTTCCCATTTTTGTTAAACGTTCTTATTGGATGGATTTTTATGGCATTCCTTCTTTTAGATACTGAACTCTTGTTGTTTTATTATTTATCGGGTAAGGTTTGGTCCCCTCGAATTTCTTTGTACTGAATTCTCATTAATAAAACTTGGTAAATGTTCCCCTGGCATTTACCCCACTGATTTTGGTGGTTGACCTTCCGGGGTAAAAAAAAAGAAAAAAGAGAGAGAAAATTCTTCCGCTCAATTGTTAGTCGGCTTATGTTATACTAAAAAGAAATATTTATGAGAGAGAAAGTTCTCTCGCTCAACTGTTGGCAAACTTATCTTTTAATACCTACGTACCTCCGTCCCACTAATAATGGGACATGAGAAGGTGGTGTGATTGTTAAGAAAAATGTATTTACATGGTTTATATGTAAATTTTCACATTCTTATGAGATACTATCGTATTACGTAGAAATAAAAACGATAGCATAGTATTTTATTAGTCTATTCTTTCCTTAAAGAATGTGAATTCCTTAAGTCTAACTATCAAATACTGAGTATTATTTAAGGAAGGAAATGCATATAATGTATATGTAACTTTTTTAGCAAGTTGGCATTATTTTAACATTTTATTTCTTATTAAGAAATCTTACATTCATGCGTAAAGTTTCACATTTATATGAGACTTTATGTAGAATTAAATAGAGTAATATCGTATATGTATTAGCTTATTTCTTTTCTTATAAAATGTTAATTCCTTATGTCTAACAACCAAATTTTAACCCCATAAACTCACATGTTTTGTAAGCCTATCTCGTTTATGAGTATTTAAGTTGGGGTACACCATGAGTTGGAATATTTTTTATGAGTGTTCATAAACCATCACAACTAATACAATCCCTTCGGTGATTTGCTGGTAGGAGTACAATTAAGTCATTATTATATATTGTTTCATCGAGGGACGGAGATAGGGCCATAGGGGGCCAGGCCCCTGTAAATCCCAAAAAGAATTACTGTAACATTTTTTGCGTAAAAAATTATTTGAAAAAGTTTTTTATGTTGGTCCATTTCAACTTTTTCTCCTTTCTACGCCTCTAATTTCATTAGTATTATAGAAAGTATAAGCAACCCCACTTTCATTGATCAATCTGCTCGGATAAATTCGTTTTGTTTCCTAATGTTAAAGTATACTCCCTCCGTCCCCTTTTAAATGGGACGAGAGATGGTGGCACGGGTTTTATGAAAAGTGAGTTTATGTGGTTGATATTAATTGATAAAGTAAGAATAAAGTAAGAATGATTTTGAGCCACACAAAGTTTACCAAATAAAGTATGGGGCAATTAAATAGGGACATCCCAATATGATAAAACGGGACATTTAAAAGGGGGCGGAGGGAGTATCATTGTCCATCAGGCATCAGGTGAAATGAAATACACTCAATCTGGAGTTAAACGGACCACAATCTCCCATGTATAAACAAACACAAAAACATACAAATAGAGAAAAATTGATTACAATATTCTGAAATGAGACGTATACACACTGCACACATACGTTGGTCCAAAACTATATTCCTTTCGTTTGGAAATAGAGTAAACAAAGAATTAGTAAAAAAAAACTATAAGAAGAATAAGCACTTTGAGCTAGAAGATCAAGTGAATTAATTGGTCAAATACACAGTTAATCTCTAACAAACCAATTTGAATGGAAAAACTTATCTTTACTCGCAGAAAACAGGTTAGTTTGAGGGGCTAAGATGTTTTTCACTGCAAAAATACTCTCCATCTACATCTATTGGAAGAAGAAGATTGCCATGCATGTGGTGTCCATGTTTTTTATTGGCCCAATACTTTACCCATCGAATTCTTCGGTCTTTTTGGGCAAGGTTTTGCACGGTAGTAGAAGGCATGCGGCTTAAGAAAGACAGTTAATTTTACTTGACATAGGTGTTAATGAATGATAACCATATATATTGGTGACATGTGGAGACATCGTGACAAAATTCCAATTGAGCTTCCTGACATGTGATTATAGTAAAAGGGGATTAAGGGGATTATTAATTTCAAGAAATTCCAGACCTGATATAATCACAAACTTGAAGACATGAAGCAGAAGCAGAAGCAGAAATAAAACTACAGTGCATAGTCACCATTAGAATTAAACATGTAGTCACCATTAGAATTAAACATGTAATTGGAAGGAACTTTCAACTTTTCAAGTCTCTGAGAGTAAAGATATAATCTAAAATTATTAGCTAAAACTTACACCTGCATCTTAATATCAATAATGAGATCCAGGAGCAATATGAGAACTGCCTTTAGACTCTGATCCTAAACGTAAGTAATATGATTTTAGACTAAACCATCACTCAAACATAGAATGAAAGAACTTGAAGACAAATAGAAACTGCAGAGAGAAAACGTGATTATAGAGTTTACTACAAACAACACTCAATGTTTATTTTTGAAGATACACACTCAATGTAGACTCATCTAATCACGATTCATCAAAACCCGTCCTTTGTTTTGAGTGCTCACGATTTCCAGCAGTATTTTTTATATGTTATAACGTCATACTCATTCCATAAATGAAACACACCATGAGGGTCCAAAGAAATTGCCTACACATAAGCAAAAAAACAGGGATGAGGATTAAGTATAAGTATAAAGTATTTATGTATATAGAATCGAATTATGTATATATATGGATGGATGTTAATTAGGTAATAATGTTAGTGTATGTTGTAAATTAGGATACTTATTTGTCTGTGTAAGTATGTATTCAAAAAGGCAATGAAACATAACATACCTTATAAAAAAAACGTAACAACTATATACCTGGCTTTGCAAAAACCATAGAAGAGGCATCATCTAAGATGGTATAAATATTCCGCAGTAGCTCTTTGCTTGCAGCTTCTATAGTTTTTCACTTTTCCATATGGTGATATGGATCATTTGAATGGCGAATTTGAGGGCTAAGAGACATTTACTATTGATAAACAATAGAGCTTTCTAATGGTTCAACTTGAATTTTAAATTGGAGGTAAAAAATGATCTGAATATAGCATAAAAGTCTCATTACTTTTGGTTCTAGTTTAGACAGCACAACAATTAAACACAAAGTTGCTGAGAAGTGATTGTTATCTATTTCGTGTACTCACTATATTAAAGGCATTGTCAACACTAAATTAACATCAATTTCTCATACGGCTAAAAATCATGCTCATGATCTTAAAGAAGAATCCAAATGAATGCCCAAAACCGCTTAAGAGTTAACCAAACCCAACTAAGATCATGTTTGATGCTATATAGTTCAGCATGTATAGACATTTTTTTAAACAAATGTTTGAAGCTATTAGGATATTTTTTTAATTCCATTGTTCAAAAAGGTGGGCTTGGTGTTCATATACCCAAGACTTTGGTATAAACTACTCCAAGAAACACAAATTAAGGCCTATGTTTTAGTGTTTATTTTCCACGGGTACAGAGAGGCCAAACAAAAGAACATCATTATCAGAATGACTACTATAAACTACTCCAACAAACTCAAATTAAGGTCTATGGCTACTTTTATAGTTTAGGAAAAATTGAAAATAATAATTTCAACTATTGCCGTCCGCTGATAATAATCCCAACAATTAATTTTTTTTGTATAATCCCAACTATATGGATCGTCCGCCAATAATGGTCCATGACCAAATATTACCTCCTATAAAAAGTGAATTTTAAATAGAAATTAAGTGTAAAAATTAAAAGTTGAGATTATTTATAGGGATTACTTGCTATATCTCTCCTCATCCACTTTAGAAACTACATGAATTTATTTATAGGGACCATTATTGGCGGAAGGTCCCTAAAGTTGGGATTATTCTAAAATAATCGATAGTTGAGTTTATTATGAGCGGACCGCCAATAGTTGGGATTATTACTATCAATATTTCCTATAGTTTATTGTTGTTGTTGTTGTTGTTGTTGTTGTTGTTGTACTTCAACTATAAAAAAACTGATTTAGAACAATGAATGTGAACATAGTGAGCAGAACTAAAACGCAAATATCTGCACATAAGTGTTAGGAAGGAATTGTTAGGAAAAACTTACTGCAGCCATTTAAGTTAGAATAGATTTAATCTTCTGATAGTCATTGTTTTTGCTGTTAACCTCTTTTATATCCCCCCCACTTCCCAATCTATAAGGCCATTTTATCAAACATTTTCATCATTTAAGTATTAAACATGGCATAAGAAACAAATAATTAAGTATATGAGTCATAGCTTAGCAAATTGGGCACTCATTTGAGAATTGCATTTTATTGGAAATAAAAAGTGAAGTCAAACCATCACAACGAAACACAACGAATTATACAAACTTCCTGAAGAAAAAAACAAAAAAAACGCAAATTAGACAAAACACTTCATAATCATTTACATCCTAAAGAATCAGATTTATGTCTATTATCAAAGAAAGATCACTTAAGCATTTCTTCAAACATAGTTTTGTATATGCATTACCTGGTATTCATTAACAGAAAATAGGTCGCCTCTAAAAAATTTAAGCAGATAAAAAGGTAGCAACACCCGATTGACTAAAACGGAAATTGACATGGATCAAAGAAAAAGAAAATGACAGAATAATAATAATAATAATAATAATAATAATAATAATAATAATAATAATAATAATAATAATAATAATAATAATAATAATAATAATAATAATAATAATAATAATAATAATAATAATAATAATAATAATAATAATAATAATAATAATAATAATAATAATAATAATAATAATAATAATAATAATAATAATAATAATAATAATAATAATAATAATAATAATAATAATAATAATAATAATAATAATAATAATAATAATAATAATAATAATAATAATAATAATAATAATAATAATAATAATAATAATAATAATAATAATAATAATAATAATAATAATAATAATAATAATAATAATAATAATAATAATAATAATAATAATAATAATAATAATAATAATAATAATAATAATAATAATAATAATAATAATAATAATAATAATAATAATAATAATAATAATAATAATAATAATAATAATAATAATAATAATAATAATAATAATAATAATAATAATAATAATAATAATAATAATAATAATAATAATAATAATAATAATAATAATAATAATAATAATAATAATAATAATAATAATAATAATAATAATAATAATAATAATAATAATAATAATAATAATAATAATAATAATAATAATAATAATAATAATAATAATAATAATAATAATAATAATAATAATAATAATAATAATAATAATAATAATAATAATAATAATAATAATAATAATAATAATAATAATAATAATAATAATAATAATAATAATAATAATAATAATAATAATAATAATAATAATAATAATAATAATAATAATAATAATAATAATAATAATAATAATAATAATAATAATAATAATAATAATAATAATAATAATAATAATAATAATAATAATAATAATAATAATAATAATAATAATAATAATAATAATAATAATAATAATAATAATAATAATAATAATAATAATAATAATAATAATAATAATAATAATAATAATAATAATAATAATAATAATAATAATAATAATAATAATAATAATAATAATAATAATAATAATAATAATAATAATAATAATAATAATAATAATAATAATAATAATAATAATAATAATAATAATAATAATAATAATAATAATAATAATAATAATAATAATTATTATTATTATTATTATTATTATTATTATTATTATTATTATTATTATTATTATTATAACACACGCGGACTAAAACAGAAAAAAGATGCATCCAAAATCGTGAAAAACATGTTTACATATGTGTTATACAAACATGCATTCTAAGAAAAAAAAACAGTTTTTGTTATACATGCATTCACCCAATGTGTTATTCTTCTTATGTCGACACTATCGTAGATGCAAAGAAACAAATCTTGCTTAGTCTATCGGATGAAGTTGCTTAGTCAGGCACATGTGCCTGACTACTGCCTAAGCATGATTGTGAGCATATACACAAATATTGTGATAAGTCCGCAATTAGTTTGAATGTTTAATAAATAGAGGTGGACTCGGGCCGGTTCGGGCCCGGTTCGGGCCTGGGCCCGACCGGGCCTCGGGCCAGAAAACTAGGGCCCGGGCCCGAACCGCCGGTGGGTGGTTCCGGTTCCGGTTCCGGGCCAAACCGGGCCGGTCCGGGCCGGGCCAACCGGTCCGGGCCGGGCCAACCGGTCTAGTATTTTTTTTTTTTTTTGGTTCTCCTTTTTAACCCTCTACCCCTCCCCCTCAACCCCAAACCACCTCAAATGGCCCAAAATACCTAATCCAACTCAAAACTTAAAAAAATTACAAAAAAAAAAAAAATTAAAATCCGGCCCGGACCGGGCCCGAACCGGCCGGGCCGGTTCACCGAAATCAGGGCCCGAGCCCGGACCGCCATCCCACCGGGCCGGGTGGCCCGAACCGGTGCACCAACCGGTTGACCGGGCCGGTCCGGGCCCGCACAGTAGCATTTATTATTTATTAATAATAAATGATTTTCTTCAACAGCTTTCTAATGCTATTCACTAATCAATCCTATCTCGGACAGTCTGCCTGAGTTAAAAATGCCTTAAATAGCATTAAAGGTCTCACCACTGACATCTTATTATTATTATTATTATTATTATTATTATTATTATTATTATGTAAAACTTTAGTTTTGAAAAACAAAAAAATGAGTTCAAACAAAATAGGCAGTAACCAAGAAAATTGTAGTTTAGATTAGCTCAGCCAGAAAATATGAGTGACACACACATATAAGCATTTAATCAAACAACACATGTACAAAATATAATCAAAGCTGAATTGAAATAAATCTTTAATCATCCAAGATTTTGTGCTTGCAAAGGTGTGTTGATGTGGTAGAAAAGTAAACCTGAGACGGAAATAAACATAAAACTTAAAAGCAAGAATATTGTTTAAAGAAATTGGCATTCGATTATCTCAGTAAATCATCTTGTGCAGTAGAATTGTTTCTTAAAGCTTGGGCAATAATAATCCATAGATTAGAGAATGGTGAATTGGAGAAATGAAGCATTAGATTAGAGAAAGTACTTGCGCTACTCAGGCAGTAGAAGTATGAAGCCCTGATGCCGATCGGCATCCATATATAGTGGCGGTGTTATTTGGAGCTCTCCTAGTTTCGGTGAAGAGCTGGGCTCTATATTATATCGCATATGATTAGATATGGAGAATCTTAAATGCAAACAATTACCGTGAAAAAATATCGCAGGGTGAGATGAGTGCAGAAGAGATAGATGGAAAGGGGAAGCGTTTTTTCGGTGAAGCGTTTCTCTTTTGGGATGAAGCAGCGGCCCCTTTCATCGTGAAGAAAGAATATCACGCTTAAAAATTAGGAAGCCACGTGGCCGTAGGAGGTGAAGGGCATAAAAACGGGAGAGGCAAACATGTAGACTTGGAGAAAGGTAGAAATGTCTTTTAAGGAGCTATCTCCTTTCTTATACTCCGTATATAAATAGAAAACTCAACATTGAGGATAAATTTA